AATCTGCTTCTGGGTGTAAAGTGGGCATAACAAGACCTAGAACTGGACATGACTGGGTACAAAGAAGGGGAGATGGATGTGGTCTCCCAGCACCTGGGAGGAGGCCGGCACCAGCGACAACAGAGAGAGCAGGGGGGCACAGGCACCTGCTGGGGCCGGGAGACCMTTCCTGAGCGGGGGAGGCAGACGCCTGGGGCCTCTGCAAGGCTGTGGGACTCCTCGCCCCAGTGAAGATGTCGGAGGAGAGCCACAGCAGGTCTCAGCTGAGGCGCCCTAGACGTCCCCCGAAGCACACGCCCTATGTGGCAGTGGGGTGGAAGAATCACAGGTCACAGGGCCAAGGTGGCTGGCAAAGCCCCTTACTGTACAAGCTCTTCATGAAGCAGAGAAAATACTTGGCAAAGGGGGTTTCTTCAAAGTCCATCAGCCGTTCCTGAGTTTAAAAATATAATTGAAATATGAATAAACAGTCCAAATTGAATAAAGACAGATTTGCAAGCACAACAGCAAACAGCTCCTGGTGTGCAGGAAAGCCTTCTGTGAAGAGACCTGCGGCCCAGGCCTCATTCAGCCACGCTCTGCAAAGCAGGCAGTGACCTGAAGCCCAAAGGAGAACGGGAGGACAGAGCTGCTCATCTGCAGGTGCCATGTGCACCCCTCAAAACCTAACAGGTGCCGCTCAGGGCTGCAGGGCTCGGGGACAGGGGCTCTCCTCCGCACAGGGGTGATGTCACTTGCAGCTACTTCAATCACCCAGACATTCTCTGCAGTTCAGCTCCTGCTCTGGGAACCCTGCTCCCCTCTGGAATTGGGGGACTTCATTCTGCAACCTCTCAGCCCCTAGCATTCGGCCATGAGACTTGGAACAGGTAGGGTGGAGCCAGGTCAGCTGGGCACCATGCTCCCACACCAGCCCAGTGCAGGCAGACCATGGGGTGGGCACCAGAGAGGACACTGCACACACAGGGGTGGACACCAGAGAGGACAGTGCACAGAGTCCACCATGCAGCCAGAAAAGGAACACATGGTGATGTCCCTGCCATTGTATTTCCACACCCACCTTTCTCTGGGCAGGAACCCATCTCTGTGGACGGAGCACACTCCACAGCTTCTCCCCAGGGCGGCATCCAACTGGGGACGAGGGAGCAGGGACAGAGCTGTCTACTCACACCATGGTGCTGACCACCCATCCACACAGGCTGCCGCCAAAATGACCTCCGCCCTAGTTTGTGTGGCCTCGCTGCCCCTTGTTGCTGGCCAAGCTACTACTTACGGCATTGGATGCCACCTGTGCCCTCCACACCGTCACTCCCCAGGCCTCCACCCCCAGGAGCACTTCCCAGGAAGCTGGGCACCTCTGGGCCCATCAGCCTCATCTCTCCTCTCCCCACCTGCTCAGGGTGCCTCCTCCTGGGTTGAGGGAGGTCCCCCTGCACCCAGGCCCTATTTTAAATGTCTGTGAGGCTCTTCCTGGGGATCTCCGTGTTCCTCAGAAAAGCCAGGATAGGGTGGGTTTGGGGTTCTGGAAGACGAAGACCAGAGACCCACGTTGCCTGCCCTGCCCCCGCTCCCCTAGACAAGCAGCCCCCTCATTCCCGTTTGAGTGAGGTGGGATGCTTAGGAACAGATGTCCCCAAGAGAGTCAAAACACCAGCTTCCCACCCCAAAAACAACCAGTTAAAGGAGAAGGAAAGGAGGAAATCCCATTTATAAAACCAGGGAAAGCTACAAGTCACCAGCAACAATGTATCAAGAAGGCGCCAAGCCCCAGGGAAGGGGAGYGGAGCAGCAGAGGGAGGCTGTGCAGGCGCTGCGCTGCCGGGAGGGAGCAGGAAGGCGCCCAGGGAGGGCGCCAACCCCAGGTCCAGCCCATCAGATGGGTGCTCCGGGCCTGGCCTGAGTCACCTCCAGAATAAGGCGGGAGGAGCGGGCAGAAGGGCACCGGCCTGAGCAGGAACTGAGAGGCTATGAACGCTGCCACAGCCAGAAAAGCACAGCATGACATGGGGTCCCCACGGGTGACGGGCCAGAGGCACCCTGAGGTAGGAYGCATCATGTTATAAAGCTGACGTTTTAAGTCATCGGGGAAAGGTGAATTATTTAATAAATGGCGCTGAGAAAAAGGGGYCACTTGAGAGAATACCCGCCCTTCTGCCATGAATTGGACGTCTGAATGCAGCAACCAGGTCTGCAAACCTTCTGGAGCGTCCAGAGACTGTGCAGGGGGGTGGAAGAGGTCCTGAGATGCACAGCCTGAACACACAGGACAATGACCGCCGTGCACAAYGGACATTCAGGTGGCGGACACAGCAATGGACCAAGGGTCATGCACCACCCAACCTGGGGACACCCGAGTCCCTGATACACAAGAGCAAAGGCCAGAGTGGAACGGGCAAGGGTGGGACAGACTGCATGGGGGAATCACAGTGGCTAACCAGCATGGAGTCCTTCGGCTGCACCCACAACTCTCTACGTGGATCACAGTGAGCTTCTTGTTATCCACTGAAGGGCAGAATGGCCGAAGGTGGCTAGCCCTGGCCACAGAGGGTGTGAGGAATTCAACCAACATGGCCTCACTGGAGCACCTACCTCCCAGTAAGATTTCCTCTCTGGCTCAGCTTTCCACTTGTGGGAATCAATCCTGCAGATGTGTCCCTTGGCCCACAGGGCTGTGAGGACACAGGTGGTCCCCTCACAGTTGCTGACGACATGCTGAAAACAAACCCCTACGCCCAGCAGTAGGGGAGGTTCAGTAAGCGCAGCAGCCGCGCAGTCCCAGGGAGCTCAGCAGAGGTCAGAAACAAAAGGTCGACCTAGAGGCACTGACCTGGAAAGAGGCCGCTGGACCTGCTGGGGAGAGAGCACCCARGGCCCCCGTGGGCCAGCGCTGGCCGGAGGACGGAGGCTCCTCAGGCAGCGGAGTCTGTCAGCAGGACCGGCTTGAACTCCAGGGAGCATGCCAGCTTAGGGAGATGGGCCACTTGGCGTCCCCTTTGGGGTCCCCTCAGCTTGCTGCCCCTCATTCGGGAGCCCCTCAGGTGGGAATCGGAGGCTTCCTTCTAATTTCACATCTTCAAAGAGTTGGGAGAATTTCACTCTCTTTTGTTTTTAGATGCTTCTCTCAAACAATAAATCCAGCACACCAAGACTCGTGTGGACGCGGGCTCAGAGCACATCCTCAGCCGGTGGCCTCCACCGCCCAGCTCCAGGCTTCCCCAGGAGCTGCCACCTCCCTGCTCCAGGGCTCCCCGGCTGCAGCATCTTGCCCCTGGGTTCCAGAGATTCTCTGCACATCCCCCCCCCGCCCCAGCTGGATCCCCAGCACCCACAAAACACCAGGCACCTGAGGGGGCCAYACATTTCACTGAAGGGTGGGACAGCAGGGGTCCAAAACAGGGCAGCAGAGCAGAATTCAAATGGAAAGGGGAGATGGCTCTCCAGGGGCAAGTCCCTAGGCTGTGCCACGGCACGGAGCCAGCGTCACTGTCCAGCAGGGACTGGAGGCCGCACCCCACACCTTGGTCCACTCCTGCAGGGCCTCTGGGAGCAAAGCTGATCCCACAAGAACCACTTCTGTCTCTGAGGAACCCAGGACCCAGTATGGCAGGAAGTCCAGGTCAGTTACAGGTGGCACAAGGAGCACTAGCCAAAGTCCAAAGACTTGTGTGAAAATGGGCTCAGAGCACATCCCCACAGCTGGCGGCCTCCTGAGAAGAGGAGCAGCATGCTGTAAACCTGGGCCACGAGATGAACCCCATGGAGCTTCTGGCAGAGGGGCTCAAGGGGACGGGAGGCTGGGCTGGACTGGAGTCATGGATGAGATCTGAGCCCCCCAGCTGGCATGGAAGACCTAGGAGGGCACCTTGATTTACCTGGGTGGGTCTCCCTGTCCCTTGGCACAGGTGCCAGCCCACAGGAGGTATAGCATCCTCATGCCCTGGCCACAGGACTCCACCCATGCTCAATCCCAACCGAGGGTAGGGTGAGCTGCAGATACCCAGCAAGGGCTCATGTGGCCTGCAGCAGCTCCAGGGGCTCTCAGCCATCCCAGAGCCTCATCATCCAGGGACCCCAAAAGAGCGGCTGGGAGCAAGAGGTGATGAGTGTCCACATAGAACACAGCACTCAGGGTGGGTGTGAGCCCAGGCGCTCACGTGAGTGTGCACTGGGACATACCAGGTTGAACTGGTGCTGTGGGGATGTCTTGGTGCCTATGCCAGCAGACACCTGTGGCTGAGCGGGGTGTGAGCACAGTCGAGGATCCAGGGTGCGTTGTCTGGGCATGGTGTGGGGGAACATCTGTGCACGCTGGCCATGTGTGCACACACTGCTGTCTGTGTGTGTGCTGAGGTGCAGCTGTGTACACCGTGGTGTCTGAGGGTGCACCAAGGTTCCCACACCCCACCTTTGGCCCACCCTGTGATCCTGTTCATCCTGACCCTCAGCCCCCCATGCCCACTGCTCCCAATCCTCACTAGGCCCAAGCAGCCCCCACTCAGGGCAGCTTCAGGCAGCCCAGTACACCCACCCACCACCTTGATCCCTGTGGTGACACCACAGGTGACAGATGCCCCCACCTGACTGCCATCTTAGCCCCTCCATGTTCTCCGCCAGGACCTGCCCGCCCATCACACCCAGGCTCAGACCCGAGCCTCAGGACTCAGAAGTGACTTTATTTCTCTGTAGACGATGCCCTTTAGGCCAGGCTTCTGGGCTGTGCCTGGCTTGGCCTCACTTCCCCTAGGGGACCTTGGGGTCCCAGCTCCTGCCCTCACCCCCAGTCCCCAGCCTCCTGCCCAGACACCAGGTGTCCTGGAGAAATCCAGCTGCCTGGGACATGGAGCTGGTGAAAAGGCAGGAGGTCTCACATAGGGAAGGTGAGAGCCACAGACCACAATACTGGCCAGTGGTGTCCCCGCCTGGGTCAGACCAGCCTGGGGTGAGGCAGTGCCAGCCGGACTCAGGGGAACAAGCTCAGAACCCTGCGGGAAGGAGGGACCTCAGGGCCCAGCCCAGAGGAGGGCAGGCCCCAGGCTGAGCAGGAGCCCCCCAGCCAGGGCCCAGGGRTTGCACCCCACAGCGGCTGCCTGGTTGCACAAGTCCTTCCCACAGCACTCCACGTCGACTCTCAAGATCCCAGAGTTAATGAACCCCATCAGATAGTCTGAGAAAAAGTGCCGCTTGACGAAGTCACAGGAGGACGCACACATCTTGTTCACGGAGTGATCCTTCCTGCCTGGGGAGACAAGGGACTGGGACTGGAGCTCCACCTGGACCCTCTGCTTTGTCCCCAAGACCCTCCAGGTCAGTTTGGGGCCAGGGCCACAGAGCTGAGGCCTTCAACCCACCGAAGCTGGGATCTACAGAGAAAGGGGTCCTAAGGAGCCAGGGAGGGAAAAGCTGGGCAGCATCCTMCCCGCAAACCCGTACTCATCCCCGCCCAGGGTGGCTCAGAGAACCACACCTCTGACCTCTCCCCAGGGTCTGGCCTTCAACAGCCTCACCCCCACCCTGATCCCAACTTACTGCTGCTGGGGTCGGTGATCCGGACACTTGCACACACAGTGTCCGATGGCTGGCACTGCTTCGGGGTGCAGTGGCTGGAGTTGGTGGTCAGGGTGCAGTCCTGGCACCACAGGCCATGAGCTGGGCAGAGCATAGGGCTCAAGATGACCAGAGGAACTGGAGCCTGACCAGCCAGGTCCTGTCCCCTCCATCCCCACCTGCCCTCCTGGCAGAACCCCGCCCACAGAGGTGGCTCCAGCTCCCACTGGACAGGAATGAGCAAGCCACACCCCGTGTCCTGCACACTCCTGCCCCGCCTCACAGACACCCCCAGAGCTGGGTGGGTCCCAAGCTATTAAGGCCCAAAGAGGACTTGGTGGGTAGCCTGGTGGGGCTCTGGGAAGAGAAGAAGTGTGAGAACCCGGACAACTGGGCAGCAAGGAGTGCCCACGCAGGACCAGCAGCCCGGAGGAAAGGTGCCTGGCGCCGTCGGGGGCTGGGAGAGACCCGCGTGGCTACTGCCAAGCGGCAAGGGCCGGCTGGGGAGGCAGGGGCTGGGAAGGGGCGTGGTGAGAACCCGAACCCTTGGAGGATTCGGATATTCCGGTGACCTGCCCCGCCCCACGGACCCCAACTCACCCGGCGCGGGACACAGCAGCAAGGCCAGCAGCGCCAGGCCCAGGCTCCTCATGGCTGCGGGCAGCATGCTCCGGGTGGGCCTCGGGGAGGCGCGGGGGCTACGGGTGGGGGTCCTCTGGGGCGCAGGCCTTGCGGGGAGAAGCCTCGGTCAGGAGACCCAGCCCTTGGCTGAGGCGCAGGGACCCTCCCCTTTTCTGGCCTCGGGATGAGTCCTCCTCCCAGAAATCCAAAGCTGGGGGTCGGCCAGCAGCTCGCAGAGCCCCACCCCCACCCATCCCCCAGCGCGTCCACCATCACAGCTTCCCCGCCAGGGAGAAAAGGTCTGCCCTCTCCAGCGAGGTGACCACCCAAGCTGCACCCACCCCGGGCCCGGCACCTGCAGCGGTACGGGGGAGGGGGGCGTCTCTCCTCCCTGGGGAGCTGTCAGTTCGTTGGGTCAGGCACGACAAGAGGAGGTGGGAGCGGACCGTACCTGCCGACAGGGGAGGGGTGCGCGCCTCGTCCCCACCCCTACCCCTGGGCTGGGGGGCCGGGAACCCCGCGCCTGGTCCCCTCCCCCGGCTCCCGCGCGCGCGCCTTGGCGCTCACCGCGGATCAGGGCGTCGAGCGCGGGCCTCGGGGTCGGGGGGCGCACTCACATCCCTGGGGTGTCCGCACTCCGGGCTCGGGCGGCGTGCGCGGCGCGGGGAGTGGTGCCCTTCGGTCTCCCTGCGGACCGGAACCCGGGCGCAGCCTCGTCTTTCGGGGAACGCAGCCGCAGACGCGGACCCCGCGCGAGGGGCGGGGCGGAGCCGGGGCGGGGGCCGCGCGGGGGGCGGGGGCGGCGGGGAGACGCGCGGGCGGGGGGCGCCTGGGGCTCGCGGCCCCGCGGCAGGTCGCTGGCCCTGGCCGCGCGCGCCCTCTCGGGTTCCCGCGCCCACCACCGCGGCCCGGTGCACCTCCCCCACCTCCCCACCCCCGCCCCCACCTCCCCCTACCCAGGCGTGGGCAGGATCCCTTCCCCCTCCGCTTGGCTGAGATCCCCTTGTAAATTCTCGGAAGAACGTCGACTGCGAAAGGAAGAGAAGCGCACAAAGACGCAGAGGGAGGGAGGTAAAGCCGCGGTGCTCCGTGCAGGTCCCGTCACCCACCGCYGGCTCAGCCTCCCAGCGTGGGGCCCCTCCCTCCCAACCCAGTCCTCGGTTCCTATTGCTCCAGGCAGTTCTCCTCGGGGCCTCGAGAAGACCCCCACCCTCAGCCCCAGCCGAACCCCAGGGACTGCTGTCACCAACCACACCCACACCCGGAGGGCTAGAATCCTGGCGAGGCAGCGCGGGTTTGGACCGGCTTTCCCTTGTGCCTGGAATCGGTCTCAGCCCCACACTAGGTAAGCCAGAAGCCACCGTCCTACTAGACCTGCTTTMATTCTTTTGGCTAGAAAAAGTGCCACTGTTCTAGCGCTTGCGTCGGCGCTGGAAACGCGGTGAGAAGATAGAGGTAGGTCTTTGTCCTCCMGAGTCTTACCCTAGACAAATGGTTGCACTAGTACTATATCTTTGCAAGATGTGAGTCAATGTTTATTGAGCACATACTATGTGTTCCTCCTAGTCTAGAAACTTGGTGTATGCTATTCAGTACGATGGACAACGACCCTACTCTGCAGGATTAACCGTTTCCATCATACCTGCACARAGGTTGAGCTCCCAGCTCAGGGTCACACAGTTGACCAGGTGACACGGCAGTATCGGGCTACAGCAGCTAAACATCTCGGTGCTCCTCCTCTGTGTAGCTTTGGAGGACTGTAGGCAAAGAAGAGATGGACAAGAGTTTAAGAGGACCGGGATTTGCATTTGGGTGGGAGAGAGCTTCTCCAAGGATGTGATCTTSAATTGACACCTGGAGGAAGAGTCAGGATTTAGAAGGTGCAGACATCAAGAACTAGGTCACAGCTCAAGCACAGCACTTTTGAAAATATKACAGAGCTCTCAAGAAAGTAAGAGGAATTTCAATAAATGAGTAAACAGGAGCCCCAGAGCCTGCCTGCTGAGAGGAGGCAGACACGGAGCCACAGGTGCCCTGGGCAGAATCCAGACCTGCACTTGACGGAGATCCTGGGTCTTGGTGTGGATTCTGCAGAGACAGAATCTGGGGCAAGGATTCCAGGGCAAGCTGTGTTTGGAGGTGCAGGGAGCGTAACTGGGGGTAGAGATTAGCATTCAGTGGTCCAGGGCAGGGAGGGAGGCCAGTAAAGGTGTGGTTCTGAGCAGAGTACCAGAGTGGGCCTGGAGCCTTGTCACAGGGAGAAGTACCGAAAAATGACATCAAACGAACCTGAGTGCTCTCGCCCCACAGGTGAGGAGCTGCRGTATTTTTTAAGCAATCCAAGGAGTCATCAAGGGCTGCTCTCGGGTTCATTCTCTAGTACCCACATAAGGTGGGCAAAGTACCTCTTTTCAGCTCAGAGATGCAGCTCCATCTGTAGGAAGCTATAGCCAAGCATACCCACACGGTTGCAGATTTGGGGGAGCATTTGCAACAAACCCCCAAAGTGTATGGGCAATGGGGTAGGAAGGGGGCTGGGCCTGAGACTCTGTAGAAAGCTGAGCCGCCAAGGGCACCAGAGTGGCCCACAGCAGCGGCCAAAAACAAAAGTGTGACATCTCTGCAGGTCAGCAACCTCCAGTGTAGAGACTGGTTCACAGGACTCACCTGACCAGCCATGAACTCAGAATAATAAAATCAGCTGCATCCAAAGAAAACAAAGTAACACTCAACAGAAACAAGGTCACAGTAGGTTCAAATCCCCAAATACTCACTACACTGGAAGTAGGAAAGATAGAGTCAATCTTCTCAGCATTCTGAAGATATATTAAAGAATGGAACAAGGCACTATCCAGCTGACCAGGGTCCATCTGGAAAAAAATAAAATCTTTAGAAATGAGATGGAAAAGTCAGAGAAACATTGAAAGAATCACACTAAATGAAAGAAGCCAGTGTATGTGTCTCTCACACACACCCCATTATATATTGTATCTTTACATTTATATGAAATCTCCAGAATTGGAGAATCCAACAGAAGCAGAAAATAGATTAGTGGAGCCTGGTACTGGGGGAGGGAGGGAGGAAGGAGAGGGGCTGTAATAAATGAAAATGATAAAAATCTCGAATTTTGGAGTGATGAAGATGTTCTAAAAATAGATGTGAATTGTATCTCAGTACAGCTGTTGTTTTAGAAAAAAAGCCTGTAGATGGGTTAGGCAGTCAGTTAGACACAGTTGAAAGGGAAATTTGTGACCTGGAAGATAAATTTAAAGAAATTATCAAGAATGTGGCACAAGGAATAAGGCAAGGTTAAAAGTGTAAAAGAAACATAAAAGATAGCATGCAGAGAGCCAAGGGAAACCCAGCTGAAACTCCAAGGAAAGAGCTGTGTGGGGAGACACTTATTAAAAAATATTTCAGAACTGGTGAAAGGCGGGATTCCACAGGGAACATAAGGTATACTAACTAGAACAATGAAAAGAAAGTTTGCCCCAGGTACAAAAGAGTGAAGCTGCAGGCAGACTTCTAGATTCTTCTAGAATCTTCCGGCCCACTCTGCACTTAGCAGCAGTCAGAGGGTCTCATGGCTCTGGGGCGCCAGCTGTGTGCTTCCCGCTTCCTCGAACCTCTCCACTGCCCTCGCTGAGCTCTGCCCATGCCAACTGTGCCCTGGTGGTGGGAGGCCACCAGAGTGGTCTTCACTGGTGAGTGCCACTCCCCTGGGTCAGGTTCTCCAGAGAGATGGACCCAGCGGCTGAGCTAATGTGTGGACATGTGCTCTGAGGAGCTGGTGCTCCCGGTGACAGCGGCTGGCAAACCTAGAGCCTGYGGGGCCGGCTGCAGGCGGGAGACCAGAAGCTGTCCCCTGGCAGGATTCCCTCCTGCTCAGGGGTCCCCAGGCTACTCTTGGGTTCTTCTCAGGCCTTCGACTGATTGGGTGAAGCCCACCCATACCGTGGAGGACAAGAGGCACCAATTTAAATGCTAATCTCATCCAAAAGCACCCTCACAGAAAAGTCCAGAGCGGCCTGCAGCAGCACTCGAAAATAATGTCTGATTGACTTATTACCTCAGCACCATGGCTCAGCCAAGTTGTCACAAAAAATCAGCTCCTCAACAGGCATCTTTTACTTATAGTCCAAGGACTTCCGGCCCGCACTGCAGTTCTTCCCATGGCCTGCAGTGTGATGTCAAAGCCCTGGGGTTGTGGGCTCTGATAATTGCCCGCGTTCCCACCTGGCTCCACAGTCTCCCCTGCTCCCGTGTGAGGGCATCCGGCCTTCCTTGACTCCTGGACACGGGCGGTCTCTGCGCACCTGCCACAGCCGCGAGTAGCTCCCTTCCTCGAGTGCAGAGTGGGCCGGAAGATTCTAGAAGAATCTAGAAGTCTGCCCTGGATGCAGACGCCTTTAAGAAACAGTAGAAAAACAAAATTTGCCTCCCTAGATGTAGAAAATCCCCCATATCAAGTCTTACCATGAAAGATTTTTCCTTTTTCCTCTCACTCTCCTMACATTGATTCCTAACGTATAAATTCCAAAAAATCTTTACCTAATATTTCAAAATATAAAAATTTACAAAAAATCAGAAAAAAATCTTCTGGGAAGTACAAAGACTTCCCAGTCCCGCGCTTTTCCCATGGGAGAGGAACAGAGGTATCAATGTATCCTATTAATCACCTTAATAATTCTTTACATTAACTTATGGTCTCTAGAATTGCAAAATTAAAATTTTTATCTAAGTCACAGATTACACTTCTGTCTGATTCACTTACTTTCTACAATTCAGCCCACCATACTCTGCAATCCTAAACACGCTTAACTTCTGGAGAGACATTCCAAACCCACTACATTTCTAAAATCCACCCTGGAGTCCCAGTTCAGGCCTCCATTTGTCGTGACACGTGACTAACCCAGTCAGGGTCACCCCAGGTGAACTGGGCTGCACCAAGTAAACACACAGAGACAGAGAAATACCTTTTTCTCTGGTTCTGTGACGGCTCCTCCAACCCAGCTCCCACACGAGGCAAGRCAGGCAAGAGAGAGCGTGCTCCTCGAACCCAGGTGTTATTGGGGGAGGCTGTTCCATGGAAGGTTCTACCCCCAAAGGGCAAAGGGGTAGGACTACAGAGGAACAGGTGAGTGGACTCAACCCAGCAGGTGACATCTACTCCTGGAGCCAYACCGTGTTATCTGAGCTGGGGTAACGCCCAAGTTACTGTGACCTGTCCCGGCCGTGCCAGAGGAAGGCAGTGACTGTTCAGAACCCCGAGCCTCAGGACTTACAGGCGTCTGCTTCCAGGGCAGCTCCGACAGGACAGGGAATCAGTGGGCAACAGTGGCTCAGCAGGGCACCAGCTTGGAACGGTCTCTGCTCAAGACACCTGCCCGGGCCTGCTGGGGCACAGACGGGCCTGTGTGCAGGAGGTGGGGCCGGCCCTCCCACCCGAGGCTCGGGCAGCACCTGGGAGTCTGGGAGGCCTGGGAGGCGTCCAGCCAGAGGGCCTGGGAGCACCCAGAGCTCCAAAAGCCTGCACTGGAGGCCAAGATATAGCATGACAAAGAACAGGTGGATCCCCCTGCCTGAGGAGGGAGGGCAAGGAGCCACGGGAAGGGGTCCCATGAGGGGCCGGCAGCGGGTCCCAGCCTGAGCAGCAGAGGACTCGCTCCTCCTGCCAGGGGAAGAGCACTGCTCGGAGGCCCAAGCTCTGCAAGCTCCGTGGTGAATGCCACAGCGCACAACACCCGGCCAGTGCTCCCGGGTCCCGGCAGCCAAGTCTGGGTGCTCTCTGTCCCCACGTAGGCTGAGGGTGTCCCCGCAGGGCTCACACGAGGGGCCTCTTCCCCCTCAGCTTCCATCATTCCTGCCAAGCCACCCCTCCAGGTCCCTGGCCAGGCCTGAGGCCTGCACGACAGCCCCCACGTCCTTCCGCCTCCAAGAACCCCCTCCTCACCCCCACCCCTCTGCCTCGAGTCCCTGCTCATCCCCTCTCACCAGCCTGAGACTCTCCCTCCTGGCCCTGCTGGGCTGCGTCA